CCAAACACGTCTCTTAAATTAAACTGCTAAATTCATGTGGACTACATTTACGTTCTCTTTATGAACTTTTTGGAACATGAAAATTCTGTTGGGTGGACTTTGCATGGATAAAAATGATGAGGGAATATAAAAAAAATATAAAAAATTCTTAATTTGTGTTAAGATGAATGAAAGTTTTAAGGGTTTGGAACGACATGAGGGTGAGTAAATGATGACAGAATTGTCATTTTTGGGAGCGTAATATAATTCAACAAAAATAATGACACAAACCTCCACCTAGAAGCAGAGTGGGTAACTCCCAGTCCAATATATAGTTCAGACATTTTCCAACTCCAACAGGAGTCATATTGAAGGAGCACATGGGGTCACCCGCCATGGTGTCCGCTCCAAGTTGCATCACAATTGCTTCAGGGTTAAACAGAGCTTTGACTTCCTGCATCACACTGAGAGAAAACCCCAAAAAATGAAATAATGTCTATGTTTAAATGACACTGAACCATGAGGACAAACAAAGCATTGCAAGGAACTTAGATTTCTTGGTTACTGGATCTTTACAGACCTAGTGAAGGTCTGGCAGTACCGATCATCACGGATGCCATCCTCGAGGGGGACGTTAACAGCGTACCAGCGTCCTTTACCCAGCCCAGTGTCAGTCACATCACCTGTGCCTGTCAAAGAAATTATAATGCGAAGCTAATGTTGGTCTCTTTGAAGGGCATTCATATGACTGATAGAACTTATGTCAGGGCCAGTATGAATTATCTAAATGAATCTTTATTGAGCACTGATGTTGCTATTTATAGAATCGTTTAAAAGTGTGGGTTATTAAGATTTTTTTAAATGAATTAGTCATTAATTTGATCAAAAGAGCAATTACTGTGCAGATGCAAGTGCAGTTGATCAGTTTCTTCCGCTTCTGGCCAAAACCACACAGTATGGTAGAAAAAAGTTGCATTCAGTATGTGCACAACTGCTAGCTAGTAAAGAGATTCAGCTGGGTTATTTTGACAGTTGGTCCATTTTTTTGCGTTTTACTCAATTCAGTCAGGTTTCCGCTACAAGCATCTGAATCATAATTTTATTTTAATGTTGAGAAAATCTATTCCAAGAGTGTCCACATATGAATTAATATGAATTCTGAATGTGTCATTTGTGAAGATCACTTGGCAACTGTGTTGCAAAAACAACCCATTAATAAATCATTAAGTAAATAATAATTCAATCTTAGAACATCTTGCATTTGCCCAGTTACCTTTCCAAGTGCTATTGTTAAGCTACTGAAGGGGCTCTCAGAGTCTCCAAGAAGCCACAGAGCTCCAGTCTCCGTTATCAGCTGGGTAATCAGACTCTGGGCGCTGGAGTGGAGCCTGCAGCTCCAACTCTGGCATGGCTTGAAACATGACTGTCAATTAAGGGAA